ACATCCAGACAGGGTACCTGGGACCAGCCAAGAGCTGCATGCCCTGTAAACTGAACACGGCGTGCGGGCAAGGAGGGCGCGGAAGCGTCCCGCGTGCTGCCAGGCTCCACAACCCGCTCGGGTCAATAGGGATTTAACTTGGGGAACATCAGAAACAGCTGTGGGCGCGGCTCCCTGAACGGGCGGGCGGGCGGCTGGTCTCAGCGGCTCCAGCGGAGATGCTCGCTTCCCCTCGGCTGGACCCTGCGAGGCCCCTCAGCCAGTGATCGCCTCTCAGTCCTGCGCTGGAGGCGCACGGAAGCTGGGGCTTCTTCGGACCGTGCTCTGGCGGCCTCCAGCGCTCGTCTTCCGGGGAGGGGCTATTCCACGACCCCGTTGTGCATGGGGCAGACCTTAATAGTCGGCATGCACAGACGCTTTGGAACCATTTCCCTTTTTCCTGGAAGGGGAAATGAATTGTCTGGGTCCTGTTGGTCACTGGGGTCTGACTGTACAGAATTAGGAGATAGATACCGGTTCACCTGTTTGGAAAGGACAGGAAGGGGAAAAGAGGAGGGGGCATACCTTTATACCTCAGGGAAGGGATAGGATGCAGTGAGATAGAATGCAGTGCAGACGGGGCTCTGGTAGAGGCGGTTTGGGTGAATCTAAGGGGTTTTGACAGGGAGACAGATCTGACTGTGGGGGTCTGTTATCGCCCTCCAGGTCACCTTGAGACCCTGGATGATGTCTTGACAGGCCAGATTCTAAGGATATCTCGGGGGAGAGACACAGTAATTATGGGAGATTTCAATCTCCCGGACATTAGTTGGGAGACTCACTCGGTGGTGACAGCCAGGTCACATCGCTTCCCAGACACTATAGAAGGAGGGTTTTTCATGCAGGGGGTCCAGGAGGCAGTGGTGGGGGGGTAAATATCCCTGACTTGGTCCTGACCAACAGGGAGGTGCTGATAGACGCGGTGCAGATTAGGGGAGCTCTGGATGCGAGCGATCAGAAGGCGGACTGAGGGCACCCGTCGAGGCTCGGCGAGGCTTCCGGATCCAAGACACCCAGCTGCCTGAACGGCTGCGAATCTCGGGAAGGGCGCTTTGGGTCCGGTTTGCAGCCAACCGTGGGCCCACCAGAGGGCTGTTCCGTCAAGGCCGCCCTTTGCTGGTCTCTGTGTCGGCATGCTGTGGGGCACTTTGTGGAAAGCTTTGCCGCAGCAGAGACCAATTATGCCCACATCATTCTCACAGGCCTTTTGGAAGGCTGCCCACTCAAAAAATGAAATTGTTTACTTGCATTGTTGGGTGGTAAGGAATCAAAGCGATAAATCATGAGGTTTGACCCTCCCTTTCAACTTTTCTATCCAGTACTGGATTTGGAACTCAAAGTCCCTTCCTAACAATACTTAATGATTAAGCTACTCTGCAATTTTGAAAATAAAACTTTCAGCCTTGATTTGGTGCATGTAATCTTATTAATGGCCATTTCTGACCTTCTATCTGCCTCCTTTGGATCAGAAAACTATCATCACCACCCTCTCTCTTACCACCAGTTTTTCTTGTCCAGTTCTCCTAAAAGTCCTTCTAATTCTTCAGGCTTGCTGTGTGGTTCTTACTAGTTGCATCTGTAAGTGAATGCTTGGATTGCACACCTTCCAAAATTCCTACCCCATTTTAAAATTCCTTATGCACATCTACTTTTTCCAATTCTTCATTTAAGCATTTCTGATTAATTTCTGTTCTTTCAACTCTCTCAAGCTTTAAGTTTTCCTTCAATTTGTTGCTTAGTTTTTTTCTAATTCTTGCTTATGTTATCATTAAGATTCCTACACTTGTTTGAAAGCCTCCCCCTCCCCTCCCCCTTGTAGTTACGCAGCCTCACATACTTTGATCTAATTAGCTTAAAGGTTACACCTTAACCCGGACTCTGGTGCGCCCACAGCTGGAGTCCTGCATCCAGTTCTGGGCTCCACATCATCGGAGAGGGAGAGCCAGCTTAGAATCGGCTCTGCACAAGAAGGGTAGCCGGGCTGGGAGGGATGTCGCATGAGGAGACACGGAGGGAGCCGGGTCGTTTCAGCCTGGAGGAGAGGAGACTCCGAGGGGATCTCTTAGGGACTTCTAGGTATGGGAGGGGACGTCAAGTGGAGGAGGGCCGTGAGCTGTTCTCCCCTGCAGTGGAGGGCAGAACGTGTTCCAGCGGGGCAAAGCTCAAGGCACCGGGCTTCAGGCAGGATGTCAGGACGTACTTCCTGACGGTTAGGAGCTCTCGGGTAGGAAATGGGCTCCCGAGGGGGGTGGTGGAGGTCCCAACAGTGAGGGCGCTCAAGGAAAGATTAGAGAACCACGTGTTGGGGTTTGCATGAGTGGAGCCGGCTGGAGCTGGGGGTCAGACTAGATGGCCCAGGAGTCCCCTTCCAACTCGCTTTGTTCTGTTTCTGGTTAGCACCTCTGCTACTTAGAAGTCAACTTACATGTAAGTGATGTAATTTCTACAGGCTTCCACGGATTTCCCTCAGCCTCCCTCGTTCTGTCATGCCCTCCTCCAGCACTGCCAAACTCTCTCTCCTGCCAGGGGCTCCTAACATTGTGGTTCTCTCAGGAGCAGAGGCCTGACTCGGGTGCTACGCTCCAGCTGGGGTCACGGGCAGCCCTCCTGCTTGAAAACAGCTGTCCGTCATCAAACTCTGCCCCTTCCTGGAGCCTTAAAGCTCAGGGTGAAGCTAAGCCCGTTCATTCCAGCAAGTTTTCAAATACCACAGAATCGTAGCAGTTGGCTGCCGTAGCCTGGCTGCCAGCAAAATTAGGAATGCCCAAAAGAGAGGAAAAAAGAACAGGGTATCGTGTCTTCTTCCGGTGTAAAATTCTTCAAGTATAAAGACAATGTTTTTCTCTCAAACTTGGGAAAAGTAAAACTAGCTGTTGGGGATTCGGGGAGGAGGCAGGAAATACAATTAACTGATGAGGATATTTTAGTCCTTCTCGCCTCAGTACTCGCATGTTCCAAGCAAAGTGGAGATAAGGAAAGGTTTCAAGGAGAAATGGGCAACAAAACTTTAAAAGGGAGTCACATAAACACATTTTCAGATAAGAGGTCACAAGAAAAAAGTGATGAGCAAGAAAAACAAAGCACCCTCATTAGTGCAGCGAGGAGAAACACGAAGCCTGCGCTGCCTGGCCTGGCCCGGCCTGCGACTGGTGAGCAGCTCCCCGGAGGAGAGGAGAGGAGAGGAGAGGAGAGGAGAGGAGAGGAGAGTGGCGCGAGGCCTTTGACAGGAAGGCCTCGCGAAGACCCCAGGGCGGGTGCCTCGGCCCCAGAACCCGCTGGAGGCGCATCCCGCACATGGACACCTACTCTCGCAGGGCTGTCCTCTCAGGCGAACCATCCAGCCGGACGCAGCCCGGAAGGCCCGCCACCGAGGACGAGCATTGAGTTCACATCTTCCGGAAGGCGAGAAACCTGCCTCCAGGAATTACCGATCCATTCCCTGGCTGGGCACGGGCTCTACCTGTCCTTCCCTCTCAGATTCTCATGAGACAGAGTGCCGGGCTGGGCTGAGGGCAAGCAGGTAGTTCGTCCTGACCCAGCTGGAAGGTGCCGTGCCTGAAGGTGCCGCTCGGTGGCAGTTACCGCAACCCACCGGTCTTGGGAGTCCGCGGCCGCTGCCTCTGCTGCGACGTCATCAGCGCTGGACTGGTGAACAAGACCAGACTGTGGAATCGGGAGTGGCCACAAATGCTCCGCACATGCCTTGGATGTTGCTCCAGGCCCTGCAAAGCTGCCCGAGGGTCCAGCGCTGATCCCCTGCATGCTTTGGCCGACAGGACGGCCCCACGCCGAGGAAGGGGCTGCAGGGCAGTACTGGCCCCCGGTCCGAGCTCAGAGAGATGCTCCCATCCGGGGGCCACCTCGATCTGGCGCTCCTCCCGCTTGCAGCCCACAGAGAAAGGGCTGTGGCAGCCGCTCTCTGGCTCAGAGCACAACCCCCGAGAAGGGGCAACGGGGCATTTTGGTGGCAGGGTGCCCTGTGGCACCTTGAGACTCGCAGTGGCCTGGAGGCGGTGGCCGGTGCCATCAAGCTGCCTCCAGCCTCATATGCACGAGAGCCCTGCAAAATGCCCCCTCCAGGACGGGCTGCTCAGGGCCTGCGAATTCAAGGCTGCAGCTGCCACTGCAGACCCCTCCGCCTCAGATTTTGGCATCTTCTTTGGCCTTCCACTTTCCCTGGCACTACGGGAGTCCTGCCTTCCCGGGATGCATCCAGCCTCAGTGTTGCCGCCAAGGAAAGCTCTGGCTTGATTTGCTGCAGGACCCACTTCAGCCGTCTGTCGGTCCCGGCCCGCAAACCGCTCCTCCAGCGCCAGTGTTCCTCTCCTCCCCAGGTTCCTTCCAGCCCGCTTGCTTCACCATGCAGCTTTCCCACCATCCAGAGACTGGGACTGCAACCCGGGGGGGGGGGGGGGGGGGGCGGCCTTGGCCTGGCCTGCCTTGCACTTGATGATCTTTCTCACTCCTGCACGGCTTCCCCACCCCCGCTGTGATTGCAGTTTCCTTTTGAAGTGATGACGGAGCTGATTTGTGGAGAATAATTCAGTTTCAGCCTCTTCACCGTTGACAACGACGTTCTGCAGTTCTTCTGCGGCCGGGAGCCTTGCTTCCCCAACGGGCGGCTGCCGCCCTGCCTCCACCCCTCCCTCGCTCAGCCTCGCCAGGCGTTCCAGCAGACTCCGGCGACCTGCCAGGGGGCGTGGAGGGCACCCCAGATGAACCCTGACCTACAGTCGGGCCTGCCCTCTGCCGCCCTTCGTCCCGACAACGTGGGGCTGCCACCCATGTCTAGCACTGTGAACAAGGCAGCTTGCTTTGGCCTGGGATGGCGGATCGACCCACCTGACCCTCACCTGGCCAAACGTCATTACCTGGACCACATGACGGCTGTCTGGGCTTCCTCCTGCTTTGAAAGGCTGGCCCATTTTTCTTGCTCGTTGGCTTACTTTCATGCAACTGGATTGGAGTCACAGATGGAGCAGTTTTATTGGTGGGATGCTATTAAAAATGTGGAACTCCTTCAGCAAATGGGCAACAGAAGGCGGGGCCCCTCCTGTAAGGACAAGCAGTTCCCCCCTGAATTCATTTGTGTGGCTCGTTCGGAGCCACGGAAGGCATTCCCTGGGTGGCACTTCCAGGGCAAGCCTTCTCCCAAATGTGCAAATGTTCCCACACTTTAGCATCTTTGTGTATGAGGGGTTCCATAGTTCAGGATGTGATCCTGTGAGCTGCACGCTAATCCCAGGAAAAGATTTGCTGTACCACAGCTGCGAGTAACGTTCCGCACATATGGAGCCAGTCAGGTGACTACCAAAAGTTCCAAGAAAGCTGCTGCAATGAAAAAGGAGCGGAATTAAAAACGGTTGCAGAAAGTTGCGCACAGCTTGACCAGCTCCCTCTCTGCTCTGCCCGGTGCTGCTGCAGCTGCATCCTCCCAGCAAAGGTGCAAGAGCCTTCCCTGCAGCGCTCCTGCCTGCCGCCAGGCAGGTGGAGGGTCTCCGGCGGGGAGGCCTTCAGGCTGAGCCTGGATAGCTGCCTGCAGTCAGGGAAGCTTTGAGCTGACTCCCGGCTTGGGCCCAGCAGCTCCCTCCAGCTCTAGGATTTTGCTTCTGCTTCTTTATAAATTTATGCCTGACTGGGATATTTATAAATTGCTCTTCATCAGATGATGAACAGAAAAATCAAATGGACCTTCAAGCATCCAATGCCACATGATTGGTAGTAATAATAAATTGGCAGCAAAGGGCTGTGCAGATTCGACAAGCTGGATGGGCCCACTCCAACTGCCCCGATACGCGGAGGACCGACGGTTCCAGTTCTTCTGCCGTGAAAGGAGCTCCCGGCAAGGGCTCTCCCATCAAGCAGACACCGCTCTGAGGAGAGCCTCTGGGGGAGCTGGAGACCTGGGCGGCTGCCCAGAGGGCTTCCTGCAGGCCCGTCCTGCCCCCGGCCCTCGGAGGCGGCCAGTGCTGAGCCGGTCTGGCACCCGCAAGGGGCGCAGCCGCCCCGGCCGCCCCCAGTGACAGCGTCTCGCACCGCCTGTCGCCAAGGGCAGCCACAGGGCCAGGAGGCGCCTCCACGGCCAGAGGAGGCAACATGGCAGACCAGCCAAAGCTGGGAATGCTGCCGCCATCCCGAGGCCACAGGCCCTCCGAGGACCACACGGGATCTCGGAGCACCCCAGCCACGCGGCTGCTGGTTCGAGGGCTAGCAGAGGGCTGAGGCCAGGACCGGAGGAGGACGTGAACCCCACCGGCAGGCCCGAGGAGCACCTCCACAGGACCTCCACCTCGTGCTGCAGGACTGCGGGGCAGCCTGGCCCTCCTGCAACCCAGGGGCCCTCCCAGAGCCCCTGCTGTCGCCCTCCTCCCACCCGGGGGTGGGGGGGACTGAGCATCTCCTCGGGGCTCGGCCTGCCTGCCGGCTCTGCCTCAGGCAGGAGCGGTTCCCAGACTGCTGGACATGAAAACGCGGGGGCGTCTCCATAGCATGCAGTGGGGCCTCATGTGTGTCTCCATAGCATACAGTGGGGTCTCACTGCCCTCCTGCCCTCCGACCACTTGGGGTCCAGATGCCTGACAAGGAAGACAGAGGCTGTTTCTATGGAGGAACGTTAGGGAGCCAAGAGCCAACTGGCCATGGGGGGACCAGCAAGGGGGGGAGGGGGAGACCCCTGCATCCAAGTGGGGGCTGGCTCCGTCCCCTCAGACAGGGCGGCTGTGACACCCGCATCTCCCTGGCCAGCCTCGGGGAAGGGCTCTGGGCTTGCTTCGCCCCAAGTCCGCGAGGGACCACCCGGCACTGCGTGGAGCAGACCAAGCAGGCGCCGCGGACGCGGAGCTCCCCACAGAGGATGGGCCTCCCCCACCCTGGCCCTGAGGCCGGGAGACGCTCCCACTTTGCCAGGCAGGAGGCGCACAGTGGGCCCGCTCTGGCCGCCACTGCCACGGGCACGCACCAACAAGAATGGGGGCACGGGGAGCTGTGGCCGGACACACTTCCTCTCCCACGCCGCAGCCACACTTGTGGGGCTGGTGGGGGGCCACATGCGGCTGCAGTTGTGGCGGGGGGCACGGGCAGGGTGGGGGGATGCTCCAGTGTGCCACAGACGTGCCCAGAGGGCTGGGTGGAGCCCCCTCTGCTGCCCAGCGTGGGGAGGGCCGGTCCCTCGGACGCCACAGCCCGCCAGAGTCGCCCCGGGCTTCCAGGCTCGGTCCCGCCAGATCGCAGGCGCTCAGATCCTCCCCCGCCCACGGGAGGAAGCCCGGCCCGCACTCCTGGGTGCCGCATCCGGCCAGGCATGGGCCCCTGGGAAGCCTGCCGAGTCCAGCAGAACCGTCGTCATGTCAGCACTCTCAGCATCCTGGTGACGGGACCCCATTCTAAGCCGCGGGGTCTAACGAAGCCCACCGCTGGGAGCCCCCCCAGGTGCTTCTGTGCTAGCGGGTACGGCGTGGTACACATGCCGCGTCCCTGAGACACCAGCCTTGCACTACGCCACCACCACACGGTCTGCCGGCCAGGCCCAGGTAGGCCAGCTGGCCGTGCAAGCAGCACTCGCTGCATCGCCAGCACACACTCAGCCGCCGCTTCCCTTCCGTTTATTCACATTCAGCGCTTCCATACAGGTAGCTCACGAAGACACTTGTCAGCGTCCCTTGCACGCGCGGACAACCTGCAGGCTGCTTTTCCGTCACCTGCTGCTTGTCATTCTCCCACAATCACTGAGCATACCTGGGAGAGGAGAGGGTGCAGCCACCAGCACCGACAGAAACGGACATCCACAGAGGCTCCCAGAGGGGTGCTCAGCTGCCCACCTCCAGGGTTGCCTGGCTGAGGCACGTGGGGCAGGGGGCCTTCCCATGGCTGGTTCCACGCCTGGACGAGGCCTTCATCAGTTCGTCTGAGCTCTTCCTCGCAGGCTTTCAAGGCAGCTCTGAAGAAGCCAGCTCCTGACTCGCAACCATCGCCCAGAGTGGTCATCTGTACATTCACACATACAGGCTTTGGGCCCGTGCAGAGTGAGGTATCGGGAAGCCTGTACAAGCATTCACGTGGCTGGAAGCCCGGCCCCTTCCTGTCCCCAGGAAGTTTGGGGAGTGGCTCTCAGCCACCCCCTCAATTCTTATGGCTCTCTGGACTGAAAAGATCCCAGCCAGGCCCAGCACGGAAGGTCCCTGGAGGGCAGGGGAGAGCTGTTGGGAGGAGGAGAGCAAAGGGGCCGGAGGACGGGTGGTGTGAACGCACCACGACCGCTCAGAGGGTGGCCTTACAGAGAAGCAACCTGCCCTTCTCCTTCGCGGCCTCCGTGCATCGCACGCACGGGTGACCGGCTGGCTTGACCAGAGGGTGCCGGTGTCCCTGCCGGGCAGTGGGCTGCCCCGAGGGCAGGTCTGGAGTCTCGACGCCCGATGAACATCAAGGGCGTGGACCACGTGGCAGCGCTGCAGAGCTGCTGCAGGGATGGCCCCGAAGGTGGCGGGCACTCGTGTGCCCGCAGGGCAAGCCGAGGGCCTCGCATGCACGGCTGACGGCCGAGACCCACCCGGGCAGCCTCCGAGGGGAGAACCGGCGCCCCGGCCACTGCGCTGGCCGGATGTGGAGGGCGGCCACTGGTGGCTGCTCTGCTCACCTCTCCCCGGTGCTGAGGAATGAGGGTGGTGCGTGCGGCCCGGGTGGGGGGAGCGCACCGGGGCCTGGTGCCAGTCGTTTTGGTACGGAGGCCCGCGGCCCTCCTTGCCAGAGCCATCGGGCCCAGCTTCCGAGCAAGGAGATGCTGGGGAGCCGTCTGAGCGACAACCCCAATCAGTAAGGGCAGAACCGGATCGCTCCCGCAGACCCCTGGCCTCGGAGTTCGGCGCCACAGGGCACGCGCGTGCCCAGCTGTTTTCTGAGGGCAGTGCCGTCGGCAGTGCCCAGGGAGCGCCTTGGTGGTGAGCCAGGTGCTGGAGCTGCTTCCCGGGGGTGCAGCCCTCTCGGAGCAGAGGCCCGGGGAGCAGCGGTCCAGAGTGGCGGGCAGGGACCTGGTGGCTGGGAGCCAGGCGGCGCCTGTTCTTGTGCTCTGGGGCGGCAGCGGCCATCTTGCTCGGGCTGTTTCTTCTTTTGCACCACATGGTCACCCGAGGAGGTGGGAGAACAGCCCTCCCGTCCTCCTCTGGGACTCCACCCCTGCAGGGCTTCCTCGCCTGACGGCCTCAGGCTCACCAGCCCCACGTTGCCCGGCCCTGCTTGTTCTGCGAGGGCCAGGCAGGGTGTGCCGCCCCCACAGGCGCCCTTCGCCTGGGCACGCGAGGCCGAGGAGGGCGGCAACCCGCCGCCACACGAGGCCCGGCCCCTGACGGCTGCCACTCCTGCACAGGATGCAGGGAGGCAGAGAGATGGTGAAGGGCGAGGCGAAGGCAGCACGGCCGAGCCGGGAGGACGGACAGGAGAGTCGTGGAAACACCTCTGCAGAGTGAAAATGGGTTGGACGAGAGGGGAACCGAGAGGGAGTCTGTTCGGGGTAAGCGGAGAAAGTCCGTGGGAAAAAGAACGCAGGGCACCCGGCAAAGAGCAAAGCGATTCCCAATCTAGGCACATCAGCGGTCCAAGAGCAACTGAGGGGAGGGCTGGGGGCCCCCCATCCTTCCTGGCAATGGGGGGGCTCCCGCCCAAGCGAGCACAGGCACCTCCCGACAGTGGGCCCCCACAGGCACAAAGCCCGTGTGTGTGATGCGCGGGGCCCACGCAGAGCCGCCGTCTTGGGGGCTGTTTGCCTCTCCTGCCGTTCCCGTCACACCCGTAGAGCTGCCTCGGCGACTGCGGATTCTTTTGACAGAGTCCACCTTGCCCCGGAAAGAGGGTCCGTCCTCCAGTCGGAGGCTGCAGATGCCTCCTTCTCCTGGAGACATCCAGGCCGAGGGGGTGGGGGCCTGGTCCGGCCTCCCAGCCCTTTGGCCTGCTCTTCCGAGGCCGGCAATGTACCCCCCCAGCGAGGGGGGCTATCAGACGGCGCAGGCGGATGGTTCTGCTCTGACCACCCGCTCGGCAAGGGCCCCGCCTTTGCTCTCAAGCAGAGAAACACGCCACCGTTCTCGGCAGAGAGCCGGGGAGTGCGCCCGGGCCTACACGGAGCAGGTCCGCCGGACGGGAACCCCGGAGGACCCTGCCTCAGCTCCCCACACCAGGCACTCCAGATCCCTGGGGCCGCAGGTGCAGTGGGCCTCAGAGCCCCAGGATGGGTCCACGTGGCCAGATTGAGGGAGGAGCAGGCACCCTGGACAGAGGGAGGGGACTTGAGCGCAGAAAGGAAGAGGATCGCTGCGAACACGCGTGCCCCTCCAGCGGGGAACACGCCCCCTTCCCCCATCTCCCCCGCTGCAGAGGCCAAGCCACCCACAGGGCCAGTTCTACGGCCTCTGCAACGCTCTGCCCAGCCCAAGACGACGGGCTCCTCGCGCAGGACGCTGTGGCTGACGGCAGGCCTGCAGTCTCCGGGCGCCGGGCAGGGAGAGCTGTGCCCGCAGCGGCTCCTGGAGAGCGCAGGAAAGGGGCGCTCCTGTCCACGCGAGGCAGTCCTGCTGGGGTGGGGGGGCAGACTGCCAGCAGCCAGGCCTCCCACCCTTGCTCGGGGGCTGGCGCACGTGGGACGCCCAGGGCTCTGCTGACCCGGCCTCCGCAGTGGTGGGCGGGTGTCAGCCAGAGCGCCTCCCAAGCAGTCCCCCACCCCCACCTGCCGGTGCCCCTTCCACCCCGAAGCCAGGATGGAGCCCCAAGGTGGGTACGCTTCCCCCAGGAGCTAACAAATGGGGCAGGAGGGAGGGACTGGGGAGGCCGGCTCGTCTTCCGGGCGCTGCCTTGCCTTCCTTGCACGGGGCTGCGGTGCTCCCTGGGACAGGGCAGCCCCACCACCTGCCCAGCCCCACCCGCCGTGGTGGCCCCCGTCGGCCGAAGCAGGCCGCCCCCGGCCCAGGGGGTTCTTGTGCCACCCGCGAGGGGCCCACTGTGCCAGGAGCCGCCAGAGACCGGGCCGGCCGCGGGGGGCTGCCGCCCGAAGAACCACCCGGACAGGCGGCCCCGCACTACTCCGCCGGGATGGGCGTGTTGCAGTTGCCGTGGTAGATCCGGACGTGGCCGTCGCAGCGGAAGTAGTGCTCGAAGACCTGGCTGTAGCCGTGGTCGCGCCACCAGGAGCAGAGCTGCCGGTTCCAGGTGCAGTCCAGCACGTGGAACAGCTCCGGGTGCTCCATGCCGGCCAGCGTGAAGAAGTCCTGGTCGCCCAGGTGGCCCCGGAAGTGGAACCGGCTGGCCAGCTCCTGGAGGGCCTCCGGCTCCAGCAGGCGGTTGTAGAGCTCCGAGCGGCGCATGGCGTCCAGCTGAAGCAGGAGGACGCCGCTGTTGAAGCCGGGCAGCCCCTCGGGGGGAGGCTCCCCCACCCTGGTGCCGGGGTGCTCCTGCCGGTACTGCCAGAAGAGGTGCCTGTGGGGGGAGGCGACCGGCGGGGTCAGGCGGGAAGGGCGTGGTGGGCCCGGCCGCCCCTGCCCCCCTGGCTGGATGCTGGGCAGCAGGGCAGGATCCCAAGGCGGCTGCCCCCGATTATGCCTCCGGGCCCGGGGCGCTGGGCAGGAGCGCTGACGGCTTCGCCTTCTTCGCCCCATAAGGCAGAGCTGGGTCGCCGCCCGGAGCTCGGCACGGCTGACAGAGGGGCTCTCGGGGAGGCTTCTGGGAGGCGTGCTGGGAGGCAGGTCCCTGGCTCCGCTCAACCCCCCCCCACAGCCCAGCCCAGTCCGGAGCCTACCGGTAGACAGGCTGCATCTCTCGGGCAATACCGATCACGGCTCCCTCTGGGAAGTTGTCAAATTCTTCAAAGAGTTCCCGGATATTGGTCCGGTATTCCACGTCGAGGTCCACTTGAATGATACGTGAAATCTCTGGCAGGACGGAAAAGGCAGCCCGTCAACCCCACCATCCCGCCCGGCCTTCGCCGCCGCCGCTCACAGGCAGGCAGCTTACAGTTCCGGAGAAAGAAGCGTCCGGGTCCCCCAGAAAAGCTCAGCCAGGTCCCGGGTCCCCACATGCAGGGCATGGCTGCAACGCGGCCTGGACTGGGGCTGTCGGGGGGGGCAGACTAAAGCTGGCATCAGGCTTGCCCCCCGCCTGCCTCGGTCCTGCCTCCGCTCTGCAGGGCCAGGCTGTGGGCGCCTGTGGCAAAGCATGAGCCCAGGAGCCAGCCGGGGACACCCTGAGGAGCTGCCCGGAGTCAGACACTCCCAATCAGGGACCCCCACGCCCCCCCGTGACACCGAGACGGGTGCCAGCCAGCCAGGGCAGAGCACAGCGCCGCCTGACCCCTCGCTGGGATCAGGCCAGGCCATGGCTCGGCCAGGACCAGCTGAGGCAAGGCCACGCGAGCACCAGCAGGCGCTGGTCTGCCCAGGGAGCTTCAGCCACACCGGAGTTGCCTGCACTCCCCTGAAAGGAGCCAGCTCCTCGCCCGGGCTGCTCCTGCACCTATTGCTGCCATCAGAGGGTCAAGCAGCCCCGGGGCTCGAGCACTCTTTATCGGCTGCGGTGGATATCCGGGCCACCAGCCACCCTGAACGGAAAATGTGCCACGCAGAGCTTGTGGCGGAAGCCCGTAGTGCAGACTGTGGCAACACGGCCCTCGGGCCCTTCCAGCTCTACTGCGCTCTATGAAAAGACGAGGCACCCCAAAGGGAGCCCGCCCCCCAGGACCTCCCGCTGAGCCACCGGGCCACATGCATCATTGCGCCCCGGCTGAATCGCGCTGCTGCACTGCTCTGCAAGCTGCCAGGTGAGCAAAAAGGATGAAAAGGACCCGGAAAGGAATGACCAGAAAAAACTAACAGCTACCATTTTTCAAAAAATCTCTGGGAGAAAAAATAGCCTTTTGCTCTTATTTTTCTAGCCACAGAACCATCCCTGGAAAAATATAAGACACGCTTGAGTAGCAGCTGTAATCTTCACTGCTGCCAAATCCCAGATTCCTCTCAGCCCTCGTGAAAGCTGGCAGGTGCAGGAGGTTTCACTGCTGGAGCCACAAAAGCTCTGGCTCCTGAACCAAAACACACAACGAACGCCCCTCCGCCGGGACTACAGGCTGCGATCTCCAGCCTTCGTGCCTCATCAAGGCCTTTCACTCCAAAGAAGCCACAGCAAAGAAAGGAACGGGAGTTGTGTGGAGATAAGAGCACCACTGGCTTCATCTCGCCAGTGGCAGAGGAAACGACACGGAGACGCCAAGACAGCCCCTTCGGCAAGTGGAGTGCTCCCGCTTTCCGACTGGCTACGTGTGCACACAGGCATCGGCACTTGGATCCACCTCCAGCACACGGATGCCACCTCGCCTGTGCTGCCCAGAGCACCAGGTGCCCGTCCTCCCCGTGGCAGCCCCACGACTCAGCCTCAACCAGCAGCAGGTTTCCCAGGTACAGCTGCTGCTGCATCCCAAGCAGCCGCTCCATCCCTTCCTCCTGAGCCTGGGCCGAGCCTGGGATGCAGCTAGACAGCGGACAGGAGGGAAACGGAGGCCGATCGGCTCCTGCTCCACATGCGCCAGAGAGACTCTTCCTCACGTGAGCACAAAACCAATGGGCCCCCGCGCTGCAGAGCTCTTCCAAAGCCAGCCTAAGAGTCTGAGGAGCAACACCTGCTCAAGCCCAGCACCGCCTGCGGAGGAACCGGTGGCAGCTGCACCACCCGGCCACGCCCTCCGCCCAAGCAGAAGGAGGCAGCCAGACTCCAGCGAGGCAGAGCAGCCGGAGCAGAGAGGTGCTCCACCGAGCCCCTTCTGCTCCGCACCGTCCCCGCTCGTGTGGGGCTCCTTTCTCCCGGCCGCCTGCCATCAGGGCGCCTCCACGCAGCCAGCCAGTTGCTCCTCCAGCGGCTCAGGCGACAGATGGGCGAGAGGGACCCTGCTCCCTCCACTTGCCCCCTTCCTTCTCAGGCCACCCAAACAGGCCACTTGAGATCTGCGGTGCCACTTGCAGCATTCCGCTTCGGGAATGAAAACCGGTTTTTGAAAAACACAGCACCCAAACGCGCCAGAGCCGGGACGCTGCACTCCAGGGTGATGCACGGGAGTGGAAACTGGACGGACCCCCGCGCCACTCACCCTTCGGCATGATGCGATGCATGGCCACCGAGAGGAAGAATATGGCGTCGCCGTAGTAAGTGCCCGCACCCGCACTGAAGAGCTTCTGCATGGGCTCCACGACCGGGAGCAGCTTCTCCGCAAAGACGTCCACATCGTGGAAAACCACCTGTGGGAGAGGGAAGGCGGCTGTTCCCGGGCCAGGCGCGGAATCGCGAGGGAGGCCGAGGCGGCGGCGCGCAGGAAGGGCGGGGGGCAAACGCCGCCGCGTCCCCGCAGGCCGAGGGGGAGCCGCAGCCGCACGGGGGCGCGCGCCGCCTCCTTCGGGGGCGCGCGGGAGGACCGGCCGCAGTTTGGGGAGGGGGAGCCCCGCGGAGGCCTGGCGCCATCTTCCTGGGCCGCGAGCGCCAGCAGCCCGCCCTTCTGCGGGCGCCCCGGCTGCGCCCCGCTCCCCGGGCGGTGGGCGGCGGCTGCGGGGAGAAGCCGCGCGCCGGGGCGGGGCTGCACCCGCAAACCGCCCGC